AAACTCTCACTCTAATATACACCCACACACACACACACACACACACACACACACACACACACACACACACACACACACACACACACACACACACATCAATAGGCCACAGTGTTATTTTGGATGTGTGAAAATGCTCCAGTCCCACATTGTGCTCTATGCAGTGTCTGTGGCTCGTGAAGGGTGTATTCTGCCCATGTTTGAACATAATGTACAACTATCCCATGTCAGCATGAGAACACACACATATCCTCATGCCTGCAAGTAGACCTTTGCACCTTTGAATCATCCATCACCCTTGAATCATCAATTACTTGATTGAATCATCAATCACTTGATGATATCAGGACTTCCTTAGTGTAGACAATGTGCAGACACACAGACCTTCGGAAAGCACCAGTTGATACAAGCTGATTAGTTTCGGAGAAACACAGTCCGATGCCACGCCATCAGTTTTGGTACTACCCCTGACGATATAAATGTGTTGTGAATCTCTTACACCATCGCACTCGTGATCCGCAGCCATTGTCTGTAGACCGCGGGTGCCCAGAATATTCTGCAAATAAAACCTTCGAAGGTACTGTTCATTGGCTCCAGCCTGTATTTGAATACCCAACATCCTCATCGTCCGAAATTAACGAACACGCGCAGGAAGAGTAAAGCGAACTCTCTCCCCCAACACTGCCCACACACTTAACTGAGTCAGTAAACTGCAATGTGAATCCGATTAGTTGTTTCTTCACAAAGGACACAGAGTATTTTCCTGTGTGCATTGTGCTATTGTCTGTCTACATATTTTTCTGCACCTTTGGCATTCAAATATTGGTTGCATGTTGACTGTAATTTCTCCTCTACTGTAGAATACACATCTCCAGAATGGCCCCTGAAAAGTCAGATTTTCTATCTTCCTGTGCACAATACTCAGAATTGCTCTTAGCTTTGCTCAAAAAAATGAAATATTATCCGTACTGGATGAGGTTTTTCCATCCATCCATCCATCCATCCATCCATCCATTTTCCGATCCGCTTTATCCTCACAAGGGTTTCTGGGGGTGCTGGAGCCTATCCCAGCCGTCCGTCTTAGGTAGGCGGGGGACACCCTGAACGGGGCGCCAGCCACTCGCAGGGCACACACAGATGAACACCCATCCGCGCTCACACTCATACCTAGAGACAATTTAGAGTGTTCAATCAGCCTGCCATGCATGTTTTTGGAATGTGGGAGGAAACCCACACAGGCTCGGGGGAGACCTGGATGAGGTTTTTCAAAGAAATATTCTGCTCTGAGCATGCACTGGCCAAATGTATTTCAATCTGCAATGTACCACCGCATACGCGGACACATGGACTTTTTTCTTCAGTATTTTTCCATTATCTTTTGTGTCTTGCGTCACATGCACAGAAGATGAATACTTACTGTTCCATTTCGGTACACCACAGGTAGTCTTCTTTGCCGTTCATGATGACAGGAAGTCCCAACTTCCCCTGAATCATGGAGTTGGATTTTGTTGTGATGGTTCGCACCTTATCCAGCTGCACAGAGACACCAATTTGTGCAATTAGCAAATCATGTGCACAAGGGCTGAATGATTTGGACAAATAACCTAAATGAATAATACAAAATAATGCAAAGAAACCTGTGGTGTTATCACATCAACTTTTCATGTTTCTTCAAATAATGAGATGGAAATGTAAACTGCACTTAAGGACTCACCTTTCTGAGATACAAAAAATTCATTACATAAATACAGTATAAATAATGACGCAGATGGTATTTTTTTTAATCTAGATTAGCGATTTGAAAAAGTCATTCTACTGCATTGTGATGTGCATTTGAATTGGATGAAATGTTCAGCATCAGTTTTTTGCCGATGCGGTGTGAAAGCTGCTCTTACCTTTGCCACACGGCCGACTTCCAAACAATCTTGGAGATTCAATTTTTGATCCAGAGAGGCCGTCAGCGGCCTGAAGAGAAAAACAAAACCGCCTCTGTTTATTTTGTCGATATTGCAAAATGGATGCTCTGGCTACAGCACAATTTTAAGGTGGCGCTTTGACATACGAGAGACCCGACCGACTTGGGAACTTTCGAGATACGAGCCGTACATCAGCTTCGACTGCTTTGACTTATTTAATGATGTGTGTGTCGCCTGGACACAAGGGCGTGCTGTTGTATCAGGACTGTTCACATTACGCGAGTTTGAATGAAACGTTTCTGTGTAGCATGGATTAAAAGCAAGTGGACACGCTGCGAGTGGAAGAAAAGAAATGGAGACAAAAATATGAACTTTATATAACGAACTTTAAACGCCCATTTACTCAACTTGTTTAAGTTGGATCACAACTAGGCATTTTAAGTGGTGTAATATACTGTAGGTCCTCAGCATACATAAGATGATTTACTAACATATTGCCCACAAGAAAACCTGTATTAGACCCATTCAGCTGAATTGATAGATCAACCTACAGGCATTAACCAAAATAAAAGACAGAGTTCCTCGTCTTATTGTATTGCTCACGTAAAAAGGGGCAGATACAACACATCAGATACAGCTTAACTAAACACAAGAATTCTGACTAAAAATTCAGGAACACCTCCACCTAGCCATTTTGGAAATAATTTATCATGGTTCATTCTATCAGAAGCCTTAGTTGCATTAATAAAGCATAAAAATACAGACAAATTGAGATTTGTGTTTTTTTGAAATAATCTTTTGGAGAGCACGGATAGAAAGGTCGGCATCCGGAACTTATTTTGAAGCCGAATTGGTTGTAAGAGCAAACATTTTCAACTTTGCGAACAGGATTCTCTCCAGTACGTTCGTCAAGATACTGGCCAACGTAACAGGTCGATAACTTTCCATATTATTCCATTTCCAGCCTTGTCTTTAAGTACTGTACTGGCACTCACTTTGTGGCCATAACAGAGTGAGGCATAATACCATCCACCAAGAAACATGGATAGCGGTGGGCTGAGTCTGTTGCTGGCATGATAATACTTTTTAAACCTGCTCGAAACATATTTGAACACAAATCTTAAGTGGGTAAAAACAATGTGCCCCAGCAAAGCTCAAGCGCCGAAGCAGAAGGAATCTGACTTTTCATACCTGTTCATGCCTGGCAGGTTTCCCCAGAAGTAGCGAGCTCGATGTGCAGGGCTAACAGTCACAGCATCAATTATGATTGGATTGCACTGAACAACGACAACAATGGGACAAGTTAGTACAGAGTGGTCCCCAGCGGCAGCAGTCACATCCGATTACCTCCAGGAATCGACAGATGTCCGTCTTGTCTCTGGTGGACATGAACACCACATTCTCAAAGAGCCAGAAGAACGGACGGTCGTCACCCTCCTTTGGCTTCAGCAGCGTCAAAATGCGGTAGAATTCGAAGAAGAGCCTTCCGGTGCCCTCTGTTGGATCGACATTCAACCTCCAATGAGCTAATTTTCTTCAGTAGTGAAGCCCCCACGTGTTCCCCCGTCACTATTCACGTTTTCAATGTTGTAGGTTAACAGTAGCCCGATGGTACCGGGAGGCTCCGGCGTGAATGAGTCGGGTCACCCGAAATTTACTGACGTTGGCCCATTTGGGTCATCACCAATTTAATAAATAAAAAAATACGATGAAATCAACACTGGATCTCTGCACTGTGAGGCGGACGTGCAAACCATTCGCCCACAGTGCCGCCTAAGTCATTTCATTCAATATATATTTTATTCTTAATCGGTAAATGAAATGTATTATTATTATTATTAAAGATGAATTAGTTCTCAGAACTGGATTCTGCCAAATATCGGAATCAGCAGCAGCCTCAAAAAAATCCATATGGGTCGGGGCCTCATTTATCTGTGCTCTTTCTTGAACTTTCTGAAATGCCACAAGATGTTACCAAAACCCCAAACTAATGGGAAAGTAGCAATTGGTATCAAGCAAGTAAGTGGAAGTGATACATCTCGATACATCTTGTATACAGTTTAACGGTCCCGGGAGCCACAGTTGGAATCGGGCTTACCAAACAATCCTTTTCGCAGGGGATTGACCATAGAGAGGTCGTTGCACGGACTTCCTCCAATCAGCAGGTCAAACGGGCCCCATTCAGCCAGCTGCAACACAACCATTTCCTGCTTATTGGTTCATCCAAACCCCGAACAAATTTGTTTTCATGCATTGGACGCACATGTTTCCTCGTGATGGTGCGGACGTCCTTGACATATTCGATCTTGCCCACGTGCTTGATCATCCCGACAGCGATGGAATCCTCGCAAATCTCCGAGGCGATGTAGCGTTCCACCTTCAAGCCGAGGTCTTTGAGCACCAAATATCCTGTCACAATGGAAAAAAAGAGCCGCTGACTGAAAAAAGACACGCACTTTTGACTTTATAGGTCTCATATCTTTAAGTGTCTCATATCTTTACTCAATATGCGCAAAACAAATATGTGAGCTTGAGGCATGAAGTACCATATTTTCCACACTATGAGGCACACCTAGAAGCATTCCATTTTCTAAAGAGCCGCCAGTGTGCCTTGTAATCCGATGCACCTTTTACATGGATCAATATTCTGATTTCTTGGATGCAGTATTTTATATGTTCTGTAAAGCGCTTTGTTTTAAAGCTGCAATGGTTGTGAAATCTCTCTATAAGTAAAGCTGTATCGCATTGTATTCCCTTTAGAGTAGCTCCATCTAGTGGCTCTGTAATGCAACCGCAGTCACTATTGTAGCTTCTCTTCTAAACGCCTTATAATGCGGTGCGCTCTAGATATGAAAACCGTTTTAAAGTAGGCCATTCATTGAAGGTGCGCCTGATACTCCGAAGCGCCTTATAGTGCGGAAAATACGGTATGTTTTAAGTACTACGTACATACATACGTATGTATGTACATACATAAAAAGGCACCTCAAATTATGAATTGAATTGGTTCCGTGAGCCTGTGTGTACCTTCAAACGTTCATAAGTCCATGAATGTTTCGCACTGAAATGAACGGAAATGTAATTAATCTGTTCCGGTTCACCTTTTTGGTTTTGAACCTGTGTTGTGGTTAAAAATCAATATAAGGGAATACAGAATATAAAAAAGTTAAAACACCATTATGAATTATGAGGCATGAAATGTGAATGCTGCCCAAGGATGCCTGAACAGCGTGCTCCTGATTTGATCTTAACTGACCTGTGGCAATGCCGTCAAAGAGCGACAGAACCTTCAGGGGCTTGCGTCTGTCTGCGGAGATGGCCGGGTAAACTCTGTGAGGCTCCTGGGAACAAACATGTTGGTCAACGGAGGTGAAAAAAAAAAAAACCCAACACAAAAACACATTACATCTTAAACTTTCCAAAAGACATTGTAAACATTTTTTAACATGGAAAAATGCAGGAATAAAATGTAGAGAAAATTATGCTGTTTTAAAATAATATTGTTTGCGTCGTGCTGTCAAGTCTGTGTACATGCATGTGCCTTTCAGGGGCGCGGCCTAGGTCGGTGGCGTGCGGTGTCGGCGAGGTTATGTGATTGTCTGGGCGTGAGTGGTGGTTGACACCAGCTTCTGCACTGGTACTCATTGTGTTTGTGTACTTTACTGTTCTCCTGGCATTCAAGAAACAGCTCTTCTTTCCCACATGCAAGGGCATTGCAACGAGTCTAGTGTACGGTAAAAACTTACCAAAAAAAAATCTTTATAAAACAAAGATTTCCGTGACAGACAGAACTAGATCGGGATGTTCCACAAGTGCAAACAATGAACGGTGATATACAGTAGCAAACTACACAATGAATATTATATATACTCTAAAGGTGTGATTTACTCAAAAATCGAAACAAGCGTGTGCTAAATCACCCATTTGCTCCAACAGGGTGCATAATGTAGCTGGGCGTGGTTTGAAAGATTTTGAAATCAGAAGTCTAGGATAATAGTTCATTCAACTATTCTTTAAGTTATTGTGAAAAGTAGTTTGGTGAAAAAGAAAAAGGCTTTCAATATGTCAACATTACCAAGATATATTACATTGGACAAATTTTAATGTTTGATTTTCGCAAGCATTATGGAGGTTGCTGCAAATGATTTGCTTTTGTGAGCCACATAAAATGATGTGACGGGCCAGACGTGGGCCGTGGGTCTTGAGTTTGATACCTGTGTCCTTCTTGTGACTGGCAAACAAGTAAAGTCATTGGATCAGGAGTGGGCAATTCATTTGACAAAACTGCCATGTGAGAAACTGAGACGATTGTCATTGTCATTCATCAAGCATGCTTAGATATTTAAAGCATTTAATTATATTGTTTTATGAAACTGCTACTTGTCCATACATGGAACAGTATGTTTTTAGAAATCGGAAATAAAAATGGGCGGCCCAGTGCTCCAGTGGTTAGCGCGTTGACCTCACGGTGCAGAGGTCGTGGGTTGGATCCGGCCTTCCTGTGTGGAGTTTGCATGTTCTCACACCAAGTCCTCTCCTTGGATCACGCGGGACGTCCAAAAACCCGTTGTAAAATGCGGATGTGCCGAAAAAGACTGCAAACGACTTCTTGCCATCTGGGGAACTCACTTTTACACAAAACACCACATAGGGAAAAGCATGTTTGTTTTGATTTATGGCCATTTCCTTGTTCCTCGCCAAATCCAACTCGTGAGGCCCTCATTATTCTTTTGTGAGCAGAGAAAATGATGTGAACATTTATCAATTTGTAACGTTAGACATTACATATATTGGAATGAATGTACACCTTTATCAAGACACCTAAGTGCTAGGAAATGTCTATCCAATGTGACAAATGTTCATTATTTCATGTATAATACGCCCACTCTTTTTTTAAAGAAAAAAAAAATCCGTTTTATTCTTGACGTACAAACTTTGAGTAAATCACACCACAAGATTATGCATGACTGTCGATCACATCAACATTTTGCGTGGTTCCATTCAAAATGATTGAAGGTCTTGCTTGTCTCCAGGAAATCCTGTTGACAGGTACCTCCCACCGAGGACAGACTAGAAATCCGGGCTCATGCAATTTGTGTGGAACTGGGAAACAAAGTGCGACACAGTATACTCACAAACTCCATGGCACTGTTGTTGGCAAAGAGGTCTTGGACCCTCACGCTCCAGTCGGGCCTGAGTTTGAGGTTTCCCTCGCACTGGGCCGGCTGGCAAATGTAGCAGCTCCAGGGGTCGACATCTTTCAGCACGCGAAAGGTTCCCCGACCCACCAGGATCTCCACACAGTCCTTACAGAAACATCTGCCGTGGACAGCACATGACACAAATGGAGCTTTTGACACCAGTGAGCCGAGGGGAAGCTCGAAGAGCGGCTTTCCACTTGTTGAAAAATTCCAGCGAATACAACTCTTGTGTTACTTGACGCGCTTTCCTCGGTGTTGCTTCAGTTACCTTGAAAACGTAACTTAGTTTACTCATTACTTGCTTTTCACAATAAAATTAGAGCCAATATTAGCAAATGTGGAATGTGGGGAAAAAAAGAAGAGGTTTGGAGACTCATTGGAAGAAAAAAATGTGGTTATAAGAGAGTAATGCACCGGGTGTTCCTGGCAACACTAACTCTACTTAAAAATGTAAATGCCGGGGCCTTGAGCTCCGTTTACCTGCAGCAGCTGGCGTTGCCACAAAGAATGACCTCCGTCCCCCCGCAGCACACGGTGCAGTACGATTGGTAGCCATCTTCATCGTAGCGATACAGTGTTTCTATGAAGTTCTCCTACGGACAGTGAGCGGGATCAGCATTTTTTCAGTATGCATACTTTTAGTAACATTTTTTTTAGTGGTGTGCTGTGATTTTTTTTTTTTTTGGTGGGGGTGAGTTTGTTCAATAAAGGTTGTGAAACCTGATGTTAAAGGCAGAGGCTTTGCCAACTGCACCGGAACGGGTCGAGGCACACGTTGTACTCTGTCTTACCTTGCATTTGAAACAAAGACCGCCTTCAAACAATGGGTGCTGCACAACGATGTCAGCCGACCCGCAAGCCAAACAACAATCTGAAACAACAAGACTGTCCTTAGAATTTGGCATTAAATAAGAAGAGACAGTAAAAGACAGAAATCATGATGCTCAAGCAGGACTGACCTTTGATTTTTGTGCCTTTGTCTTTAAGCCTCTCAATTAAAATGTCTGTAAGTGAAATGTCACAGTAAATCAGTCAAATGTAATAACAGTTGCAGGTTTTTTCACAACTACTTTTCATCATTAGAGCTATTTTTCTCAGTGTCACTGAATCGAGCCTCTTTGTGTTCATCTACGTATTGTCGTCGACCTGCTTTAGATTAAGAGTGGCCATAGAATTGCATCACCGTGGTTCAGTGGCTCCGTGACATCTTTTCTCAGTATCGCGACACACACATTCTACTACTTACTTCGACACTTTTTGTATTTATACCATGCGATATCTGTTCAAGTGTGAGGTGCCTAAACTTGTCTAACTCCCTGCGTGTTGGCGTTTGCGAAGTTCTCTGTCTAATCTTTGTCTTCTATTCAAAAGATGTGCTCATCTCTAACACGATGTGATGCAACATCATCATCTACAGCTGGGTGAGACTCTCTTCCGTGCGTACCCGTTGAAAAACATACTTGAGGAATATATTAGATGGTGGCAGGAACCACTTGGATTCCAGATGACAAATAGAAATGTTCACAGCAGTCAATAAATTACATCCCGCAACTCTTTGACGGTGCGTAGGCGTGTGTGCATGGTTGTTTGTCCGTGTGTGCCCTGCCATTGACTGATGACCAATCCAGGGTGTACCCTACTCCTGTCTCCTAAGGTTAGCTGAGATAGGCTCCTGCTTGACAGCCAATCACGAGTGAGCCAAAGTGATAACTTGACTCTGACTGAGGATGAGCAGGTGGACGTACCTCTTGTGAAAATGTAGTTGGAGGTGCTTGCTCGACTCTTAAAAGCATGTTTCCTTTTCACAGGCGGCTGGTAGTCAGAATGAGCAGAGTCTGAATTGGACATTTGGACAGCATCTTGAACAACTGAAGGTAAGAAGACAGGGGGGGAAATGTTTGTCAGAAGCGTCTTTAAGAGACAATTGTATGGAGTAGAAAGGTGCCCAATCTGGTGAGCTGGTGGCGTGCACACTTACCAGATGGAGCAAATCCCTGCGGTCCTGTTGGCAGAAATCCTTTCACTGCCCAGTCCACCATCAGATTAAGTTCTTTTTCTTTATCGTCTTTTGCCTCTTCAAAGGACTTTTCACAGCGTTCACTTGCCAGCTGCAGGTTATACTTGGGGATTAGCATGCACTCAATCTGATGTAACAAGCATTTTGCAGACAGCAGTCGTCTGGACAAAAGTTATGTTCTATTAGTTTATTTAGTGCGGGGGAGGGGGGACATTTGCCCACGAATAGAGAAAAGGGTGGGGAGGGATCTTTTTTAAACCCCCCCAAATTCTTGAATTAGCGGAGATATACCGCCATTAATCATTTTTCACAGAAAACAAGGGCTGCCCCCCCCACCCTGCTAAAAATCATATTTTAAAATAGTTTAAATACATTGGGGGGGGAAAAAAACAGTGAATACGTTATTCGCAAGGTGCCAAACTGCAAGTATTCGGAGTGCCACTGAATGTCTTTACATATAACAAGGAAAAGGCAACGTGTTCAGAGAAAACAATATACAGTATAACGCTGGTGAATTTTTAAGGGGGGAATAACTGAAGAAATGTTGCACACAAAATAACAGCAAGAGATACATTTGTGAAAAGCAAGCTCCTCTACTTTATAAACAGCGTGCGCAAACTAGAGGTGAACCATGTATTGTCATTATATCACTAGCTGTATGTGAACATTCAAGATATTAATACCGTAAAATCAACTATATCGATTTTCAAATGTGGCACTGGATGCCATTTTAGTCGCGGGTATTAAGGGGAAAGTTTATGTCACTGGAGGAACACTAAAAGAGAAAGAGGGAAGAGGAAGAACTATACTATTGGGAACTCTTGGGGGAGGAAAACCATACAGAGAAGTGAAAAGGATGGCAGGAGATAAAGAAGAGTAGGAGGAGGACTGAAGAATGTATGTATGCCAAACAATGGTGCAGCTTCAATCACCTCCTTGGTGTCTGAACTGCTTCGCCCAGACTTTGTCTTCTTGTTGCGCTCCACCTTCACTGACCCTTCCTGTCTGGATCTACGCAATTGCTGGTCGGTGAATTTGGCCCGCATGGATATACTCTTGGCATGCTCTTTGGGGTGCATCTTTCTCAAATGGTTAAACAAGTTTGTCGTGTTGCCCCTGCACGTTTTAACATTACCCCTGCACACTTTGCAGAGCACGAGGGCTTGAGCACTGTCATCTGGCTCGAAACCAAACCATTCCCAAATCACAGAGTATGAGCCCCTTTTGGGCACTAAATTCGCTTTGGCAGACATACTGAGTTTTGTGCGCAAAGGTTAATAATTCACTGTTTGGTTTGTCCAATTACTTATGTCCCACTAAACCGTACTAAGTTCTGTTTATTGTAAAAATATTTGTTTTTACTGTTTGGTTTGACTGATTAGTTTTGTCCCACTAAATTATCTTTGACATACAGTACAAGTGTTGTACTGTCATGTTATAAAAGGTAATAATTGACAAGACTTTTTAGTGTGTCCACTTAGTTTCCCCCCACTAAAATGAACTAAATAATTCAGGATCGTAATTAAGTGTTTCTGTTTAGTCTTTGCAATTAGCTTTGCCCCACTAAAACACATTTAATTCTGCTTTTTAAAAGATAATAGTTTTACATTGTTTGCTTTGTTCAATTAGTTTTGTCCCACTAAATCGTCTTTGACCAACATCATGAAAATTATTTCATGAAGTAATGATTTACAGTTGCGGTTTGGTTTGTCGAATTAGTTTTGTCCGACTAAAATGTTTAAAAATCGGTTTATTCAAAGATAATCATTGACGAGACTGATTAGTTTGTCCATATTCTTTTGTCCGATGTCACTGCAACCAATCAGGAATCAGTTAAGTTCACGCGAATTGGAAAATTTTAAACCCGTCATGCTCAATCTCGAGTAGCGGGGACAGAAACAGATGACATGAAGGCACGAGTTGTAAACGACTTCTTTCTCCTGCTTTCCTCCATGCGGACGACACGGGACGGAGACTTTACCCGTTTTTAAATCGTTAACGACACGTAAAACTATCGGAAAGATCAGCGCGTGAGTTTACCTTACTATTACAGTTGGCGAGGACGTGTCAATTCAAATTAGTCTAACACATGGAAATATATTTTCGATCAACTTTCACTGAACATTGCAGCGATCGATGGCTTTGTCTCCCTTCTTTGTCGGGCTTGAGAGCGCAGAAGTGGTCGAGGCTCTCCGGCGATCCGCTCCACGAGGCACTTGAACGCAACCATCCAGACTCTCGACGTTCGAATCGCGCTTCTTTGGAAAGGGACAAATTTGCGATGATGTTCTCAATTCGAACCTACTCAAGGTGTTTTTCTCAGTGGCCCCTCGGCGGAAGTGAGGGGAAAAGGCTGCCGGAAGAGTGGGTGGCTAGGGAGGGGGGTGCAAGAGACCCTGTGCAAAGGGGTGGGGGGTCGAACGGAGTCGGACAAAGACTGGACTCGCTGCATTCTTTTTTTCTGCTTTCGCTCCTTTTGACTCCAGCCAAAGGAACGCGCTGGGTCATGAAGTCACAAATTAACATATCATGTTTGTGACTAATTGAAAATGCAGTTCGTTTATTTATTTGTTTAGTTTAAAAATAGTATTTGATTTTATGATGTGGTCTACCAAAGCAAATAAAATCTACTTCACGTTCTTTGCTGAATGGATTAATACCTTTCATTTCGGCAGATATCGTGTAGCAAATTCGCAAATTGTCCTCACTTTTAACACCTAACCCCTTTACATAGATTGAACAAAAGTTGTATATTAATTATATATTATTGTATTTGGGTGTCAGGTACTCACAATACTTGTGGGGGTAAGCGGTTCAGAATGGATGGAGGGAATTTAACATGATGCAAAAAGTACGTAAGAACAATAAAATGCAGGCCCCTTTGCTCACAGTATATTGCAGGCATCGGGCATAATCCTTGCGTCACCAAAACATCAGTAAACAATCAAACCGGCACATTTGAGTCATTCACATTGTGTCGTCAAGTAGAGCAAACCATTTTCAACACTTTATATTGGTCAGGAATTTGTAAAAATAACACACACACACTCTTTCTCCAAACTCGCTTGTCATCTAGGGATCAACCGGACCTGTGCATTGATTGCGCTGCAGTTTTGGTGGCCTGAGCCTAGGAAGGATTTCACAGACTTCATTGGGGCCTGCTCAGCCTGCGCTTGCGGCAAGACATCTCGTTAGCCCCCTACAGGTCTGCTTCGACCACTCCCGGTACCGTCTCACACATGGTCTCACATCTCACTCTGTTTCATAACTGCTCTGCCCACGTCTCATGGAAAGTCTGGCACCATCACTGTGGTGGATCGATTTTCGAAGCTGGCGCACTGCATTCCGCCAACCAAGCTCCTGTCATCGTTGGAGACCGCCCAACGATTGATCAAGCATGTCTTCCTCATCCATGGAATCCCGGTCGATTTAGTCTCCGACTGGGGTCAAGAGTTCGGCTCACAAATCTGGAGAAAATTTTGTAGAGCCGTGGGAGCAACTACCATCCGCCAATCAATGGACAAACAGAAAGGGCTCATCAGGACTTGGAGGCTGGCCTTCGCTGTGTCTATATGCAGCAACCAACGTTGTGGGCTGCCCATCTGCCATGGGTGGGTGATGCCCTCATCTCATTTGCCACCGGTCGGTCATTGTTCATGTCAGATTATGGCTATCAACCCCCTCTTTTCCCATCTCAGGAGCGTCAACTCAACTCAACTCTGAACTCAACTGTATTTGTAGAGCACTTTCAAACAGACATTGCTGCATACAAAGTGCTGTACATGGAGCAACTAACATATATACAAGGTCAGGTGGACCTTCCCTCTCACATAGTGTGGAGGGAGACCAGCGCAGCTCAGTCCGCAATCGGCGATCAGAGACGACGTGGGGCACTGAGCCACCTACTAACCGGGATCTACATCTGGCGGGGTCTTCACATTAATTAGGGCCATTATACATTACATTGGACCTTTCTAGGTGGAGGCTGTCATCAACCCCGTTTCCATGCGATCCTGTCTACCACCTACCTTTAAGATCCATCCTGTGTTCCACATCTCCCTGCTGAAACCAGTTGAATCATGTCCACTTGCTCCTCCATCCGCCCCTCCACGCCTTGTCGATGGTGACCCGGTGTACACAGTGAAAGAGATTTTAGACTCCAGGCAACGGGGCAGGGGTATGCACTATCTGGTCGACTGGGAAGGTTTTGGGCCAGAGGGGATGTGGGGTCCCCGCTCCTGGATTCCCTCCTTTGGGACTTCCACTCAGCACGCCCGTCAAAACCAGGTGGTCCGCTGGGGGGGTGTCCGTTGAGGGGTGAGGGGGAGGTACTGTCATGTCTTGATCTGTTTGTGTGTTTTGGTTTACAGCTCCAGCTGGAGCGGAGGGCGTTCCCATCAGCGATGCAGCTGTCTTGCATTTTGTAACCAACCTCCTGGACTAATCAAGGACTGCTTTGCGCTCATGCCGCTGTCAGATTATTCGCCTTGCTCTTGTTCTACGTACCAAGTGCAATTTTCTCGTCAATCTTGTTCTCCGTTCTTGCCATAGTCTTCGTTAGTTATTGTTATTGTACGATTTAGTTTCTTATTTCTAGCACAGTCTGTTTTGTGTTTCAGTCGTTATTGGATTTACGTGTCCTTTTGACAAGCAATTTACATTGTTCGTTTTTACCCCTTGCCTTGTGCATGCGCATTTTGTTATCCAGGGTTTTTCTGGCCCTGCTGGACAGCGATCTCATTTGTACTTTGTCGGTCTTGTGACCTTTGTTGTAAATAAACGTTTTTTTGTCAAGAGATTTTTATCCATGTCTACATTTTTGGGATCCACCCTTTTCCGGATTATTCCAGAACGTGACAGACAGCAGGTTGATTTTACTCTCTCACCTCGATGACCTGGAAGATGGCGACCTTGTAGGTGGCCACGCTGGCAAATGAATTTTTGCAGAAACATTCGGTGAAATCCCGAAAAGGCAACAACGCTTCCGTGTGGATCTGTGAAGGAAAGTCCATTTGTGTAGACTTGAGATTCACTTCTTCAGCACATTAATATAATTAAAATAGTACAGCAGCAGTCAAACCTTGGAGAAGGTTCCATCTCCAAACCATTCGACCCGCCGCAAACCTTGTGGGGAAAATTTGGTTTTCCAAGGAATCACCAAGCCGGGCCACCAAGCAAAGCCCTCCACTTTCCCCCATACGAGCTCGCCAGTCAAAAAACCTTTCCCATCCTGGGGGGGGATCAAATGTTTTAAATTTGATCTCAACAGGGCTCAAGATATTTTCAGTGCTAAGCCCAACTGTCTTTTGAACTTTTAGACTGACCTGGTAATTGGCTTTCCGTCGCCCTTTGTGCGCTTTATGCCTGGGTGACGTCTTTTCCGCCTGAAAGTTAGGGGAGAAAAAAAATCAACATATCGTAAGTTGACCTTAAACTAGGTCCCAAATGTGTGCATTGCTAACCTGAATTTGCATTTGTTTGTTTATTTAAAAAAATAGGGAAAATATTTTCATCAGACCAGTATGAAACTTCCTTGCATATCATTAGTTACAGATTGGTTGTGAGCCCGCTGGTGGTACATTCATGACACTGCAAGATACAAAACTCTAAGTGCACAAGTGAACAAATAGAAAAAAAGAAATTGGGTGTGTGTGAATAGTACAACTTAAAAAACAGTAAGCTCTGTTGCATGATTAAAGTCCACTTTCCACTGGTGACGTGATAAAGCTCTTTTATCGTAAACCTTGATGGCTCTGTAAAAGAACTGTTTCAAGGGCTTTCGTACCTGTTTGTGAAACAAGATTTCAGGTGGGAGAAGCTCAAACAGAGGAGATGCTCTTTTGCCATATCAGCTGGGGTGGTTTCGGTGTTAATTGTGTTCCTGGCTTTTTAAATATTTTTTTTTTTACATGTTTGTTGAGGGTGAGTTGCAAGTCCGAAATATTTTTTTTTTTTTACATGTTTGTTGAAGGTGAGTTGCAAGTCCGAAATGAGAAGTACTTTTGTTGTTCATCTGCAATTTTTCACTGGCCAATGCCACCGATATCTGCCGTAGTGTTGCATGGTTTCCATTTGCGGTGACGTATTCAAAAGTGTCGGATTCCTTTGAGCTGCAATAGTACATTTGCGACAGTGGCAGTAACGCAACAATCACAGTGCCCATCACTCCACTTACAAGTCTGGAAGCGACGTCGCCATCAGCCTGAAACACTGTGCGCGCTTGTGGCTTCTGGCGTAAACTGCAATGCCAGTCAAGACCTCCTCTCGTGGCCCCCTGAGGGATAACCAATCATACCCTAAGTTGGTGGTCGGAAATCAGGCAATATTGCATATGCATACAGCCTAAGCATATTTGGCGCGCTATTTGACAGCAGGAGCAACATGACAAGTGGCCACCATCTTCCGAGATGGAACGAACTCTTCAAAAAGCTCGAAAATCCTACCTAAAAAAAAAAAAAAGATGGGGGAAAAAAAGCGATTCTATTCCATTTATGCCATTGACCGGTAAGTTGAGTTTTTAGGGCAAGTGAAACCGTTTGAAATATTTTGACACGTTTACTTGGAGAAGCCATCGAAATTTCGGCCTGTACGAGCTTATTGGTGGGAAGTATGTCAGCCAATCGGAGAAGGGCTTCCACAAGTACAAACCAAACCCAAGGGTCCAAGATATATATCAGGAAATAATCAAGTTGTACTGTATGACTCACAGTTGGAGGCATTTTTGGAGCAGGTTTTCAATATGTAAATCCGGACAAAAACATTATCCCCCCCCCCAAAAAAAAGAACAGACTGGTGAGCAAAGTTAAGCTTGTTATTCATAAAAAAATTTCCGACAAATGCCACAGCACTCCTAATAATCTCCCACAGCACCCAGGTTGGAAAGTGATGTCTGAGTAGCAGTCCCTAACCAGCGGGTGCCAAATGACATTTAATGTTCACAAAATGACATGCATCCATTTCAGCCATCACACACAGTTGACAGAATGGAGGAAGGTCATGTAAGTGGTATTTGAAGAAAAGAAAAGGAAATGTACCCTTTTGCCAGAATCGCCATTCTCTCCAAGAGGGCTGTCATGTATGTTCAGGTCTAAGGAAGTCAAGAAAAACAGACGGTATCATCGTGTTCATGGCACTATATTCCCTTTTAGTCTCCTCAAAGTACACCTGCACCAGTTTGACAGCTTGCTGTCACTGGCTTGGCATTCAGATCCTTTGCAGACAAACATTTGTAGTGTCTAGTGCACAGGTGTCAAACGCAAGGCCGGGGGGCCAGATGTGGCCCGCCACATCATTTTAAGTGGCCCGCAAAAGCAAATCAAAGATGAAAACTTCAATGATGCTTGCTAAAATCTGTACCAAAATCTCAAATTTTCATATGTAATAAATCAGTGACATATTGTAAGCATTGTCTTGTGACCAAACCCATCATTACAATAGTATACAATAGAATAAAACATTATTCTTGACGTCTTTATATAGTTTTAGTCATAACGGCTATCCAAGGGAAACGGTAACTATAATGTGGCCCGCAACAAAAATGAGTTTGACACCCCTGGTCTAGTGTGACTCTTGCAAATATTTGTACATGGAGATTTTACTCGGCAAGGAATATACTTACTAGACCGTACTCGTGCTTCTTACCTTTTAACTTTGTAAGGGCGACGTGACATGGCTTTAAATATCTCATATAGACCTCATTCTGTTCTGAAAATAAAATGGAAAAGATATGATGACACTTCAATAAGCAGAGATCCAAAATCATTGCATACCGCCATTTTTTTGTTTGATTTACAAACTACTTTTATACATTTTTTAAAAAAAGTTGGACGATATGGTCAATTAAATTCAATGCAAATTGAATAAATTCAAGGGTGACATCGTCGTGTTTCCAAAAACATTTCAAATGAAACCATTTCAAAGAGTTCAAAGACAATGACGCTCACTGCAGTTTTTTTTTAAACTTACCATTGACTGTGTTAACTTGTGGGATTGTTTGCTTATCGGGACTGTCTGACATGCGTTCACCGTTGCTCTCTATTGAGCATTCACTGTCAAACAGAGATTCGTCATCTGCAATTCCCGGGGTCTCACACTGGAAATAAGAGCATTCAATTCAAAATGCACAGAAAAGAATCAAGTGATGCATAATATGCAGCGTAGTATCACGTGTCTTTAAATACCATCCCCAGCTGAAGTTGTCCCATGCAGAGCGTACCTACCGAACAACATCAGCCCTGATGAGTACCGTATTGTAGTTGGACAATAGTTTTGCAATGACGCCGTGCGTGCATGTGAAAATTTGATGAGGCGCCGGCTTCGTTTGAATCTCCAGTGCAGATTAATTTTGCTTTTATCGTGAAATCCAAAACCACGAAGGAGTAAAAATTGACGACGGATGTTTTACTGTCTGCAAGCGCTGCTTGATATGTGATGTATGAAACACAAGCAGTCAAACCAAGCGTCTCTCATGTTTGTCATAGAGGTGCAATAATTAGTTGATAAATTAACAACTGATTATTATTATGATTATTTTAACAATCATTTCGGGCCATTCTTAAATTTAAAATTAGCCAAAATACTTTGCATAACCTGGCAATGAAATGGTTGTGAGGGAATGCAAAGTTTTTTTATCTTCTTCCATGTCACTTAGGGTTTCCATACACGGAATGTCATGGCAAAAAAGTCTTCTTTAGTGTCCTTGTTGAGCATCGCCAAACTAAATATTAAGAGTGTTTCTGAATCAACTTTAAGGACACCTTTATGTTGTTCATTGGCTCATCTTTCTTGACTTCACAGTCCAGAGCAGCAGAGTCCAGTCTTCTGCTGCCTAGGTAATTGAAAATGCGATTCCATTTCATGATGTGATCCAAAGTATAAGCCACAACCTCGTGTTACTGTCTCAGACGATGGCGAAGAATGAAATTACTTTTTGTAGGACACTTGGATGGCAGATACAGGCTGATGTCACGGTTGTTCCGAGCATTGACGGCGTCGTATTCTTCATCCGTCACGTTGGCTGTGTAGAAGGCTTTAAACCATAACAGGAACTCTAAGTTGATTTTAAAATCCCCTCTTATGAGTTCATCAGATGGAATGCTCTAAAGGAAAAGAAAATGTGACACATTTTAGCTCTTGGACTGAAAAGTCTGTCCTGGCATCCTCAGGTGAAATATCACAATCGGCACACCTATCTTGAAAAGTGGAATCCATCCCCCCCGACAATCATGGGTGGGGTTACGCCCCAGAGCAGCACCAATAATCAAAGAAAGCGGCAACGTAGAAATACTCAATTTTAATACACTCTGGAATTTTTTTTGATGGCATTGCTATCATTTCAAGTGTACGGTCTTTAAAGAACACTTTTAAAACAATATGAATGTGTTTAAAATGCCCCAATCACATTTTTTGGGCACTTGAGTCAGACTCATAGGACTCTATTTTCAGAGACAGCGCAGGTGCATTTGGTGGAAAAACAGACGTGTCTTCGTTTTGGTGCCCGGGCGTGTCTGATTTACCATATTTGGGAATTTGGCATGCAGGGGGTTCGGGTGGTCCACATGTATTTTCTTTTACACGTCACATGTGAACTATTTTGTCACTTTACGACCTTTATATGTTCATAAAATGATTGAAACTGATTTTTTTCGCCCGATGTCTGATGGGGTGAAAGTCACGTGTTTGGATTTCCAACCACATGGATTGGCACATCCCTAATTTAATTACAAAGTGAGAGAGAGAAAAAGCAAGAGATAACACAAAACAAATGGGACAAATAGTGTCAAAAAAAAATAGAGGAACAGGTGCAACAACATACAAGGTATCACAACTTGATGCCTTTTGATATGGATTTAAAGCAGCAATGGTTCAAATCAGGTAAACAGATAAAATGTTTCATTCTTGAATTTGGAACATTTTCAACAGTCATTCTTTTTCACCCTGTACCCATCAGATGAACATCAAATGATTGTGACAACCCTGTTTTTTAGTTTAATACAAAATAACAAATTTCCTTGATTATGATTTCTCTTTAATAATGAACAGGGATAATGCTACATTGAGATTAAGGGGGTGTTGAGAGAAAACAGCTTTTGTAAAAGTATTGCAGTTGATTTTTGCTATTTGCAGGGGAGAGAGAGACCTGCCTCGCCCGCAAATGCCGGCTGTGGAAATCTGCGTGGAACTGACGGCCACCGTATTACATTTGGGGATTTTTTTTTTTAATTCAGCAACCCCCCCCCCACACACACACACACACACAGGAGCCCCACCGCGAAATTTCAAAAAACGATGACAAACTGTCTGCATATTTTCCCCGAAAAGCACGGGGTGAAATGGGGAGAAAAGAACTCTCGGGAAAAAATTTATTGAAAAAAAAAAAAAAAAGCTACAAATATGTGAAGCCGCAGACGCGGGTGTTACTGGTCAAAATTCCCCACAAAAAGGGCCAGCTGAACAATTTCTCACGTATGAACTCTTCAACTCAAGTGACCTCAACTCATCTTTATCGAAACAAACAAATGCCGTACCCTTGTGATGTGGTTCTTGGTGAAGGCTTCTTGAAGGAGACTGAAGTTGTGCTTGCAGTCATACTCAGCCTGTGCGTCAAACTTCACCTTGCTCATGTCTATGGAACCTGGGATGACGCAATCCATGATCTGGCAGTGACAAGCGCCTGTAATATAAATGTAATACAAATGTCAGCAATGTGAGTCCACCGTGAAAGCGTTTTTGGAAAGGCGGTCCAAAGCGGCCATTTTGATCTGCTGAAATGATACGAACCTGAAGAAATGTGCTGCATCTCCTGGAATTTGGTCTTCAGAAGAGTATTGAGCCACGTCAGCGAATTTAACCCATCTGTCTCATCTGGGATTGAGTCTGGGCTCACGATCACTTGCTTTGTCATCTTGCTGAATGTCAGGAAGGGAAAAGATGACAACTAAATGAACAAAGATGTAGAGAAGTTTCATCCCAACCCCCCATTTTGTCGCATCTAAACAGATATTGTATATTCTGTTTTTTTTTTTTTTTACTTGAGTATGGGACTTCAATCAGCACATCTACTAAACAGATATTGTATATTCAGTTTTTTTTGTTTACTTGAGTATGGGAGTTGAATTAGCACATCTACTTTTACCAGTGCCTTTTTTACTCAAGTAACTGTACTTCTACTTCAAATGGAAGTATGGCGAAAAATGTTCTTTACGATATGTTTTATGCACCCCCACTAGACAAAACACAGAATCCTGATTAAGATTTTGCTTGTGGAATATGAATTTAATAGAAAAAAAACATCCGTTTTTATCCATCCCATTTTGCCACTTGCTGACGACTGAAATTGACATCACTGAGTGTCAGGGCTCAGCTTCAAAACATCACATGACGCAACTCAAAAAACAGGTAAGTCGTGACGGTTGTTACCTGAACCCTGAGCAACTGTGAGGTCACTTTCAGTCAACAGCAAGTGGCAAAATGGCTGCTCGCAGAGACGGATAAAAATGGGTGAATTTTGCTGCTAAACCCGTCTTCCACAAATACAAGATGAATCAGAATACCATCTTTAGACTAGGGCCCGACCGATATTGATTTTTTGGGTTTTTTTTAATGCCTCAATGGACTTCATTCATCAATTATTTTCGCTATAGATAGTGTTCACTGACGTCATAGGTACGTGTAATCTCACGAATAAGCGCCATGTTGCAGGTTAAGCCTAATGCATGTCAGTCATACCTCATATACCGTAAAAGACACCAGAGCATTGAAATTTCATCCCTCAAGGGCCCATGGTGAAAGTGTTAAACAGTATGTGTAAAATGAGTTTAGACTAGTGGAGGTGCATTGAACATATTCTTGTAAAGGATTTTTCTGACTTGACTTGAGAATGGATGATGCTCTTTTGCCACATACTCATCCAGTTTGCTTACTTCTTCATGGTTGTGCCGATCTCACGGAAACTGTCGGTCTTGCCTTGGAAGTCTGCTGGCTGTTTTTGGCCCACCGGTTTCTGTGCTCTGATAAAGAGGCGGTTGCGTTGCATGAAGCGGTAACACCAAGAAGGTCCTCCCGCAAAGTCACTAACATTCATCTCCTTGGCAACTACCAGGGCGTGGAGACGTAACTTAGTGGTTGACAAGCCTCTCCCGGCAGCACGTTGTTCAAGCGCCCATCTATGAACTCGTTCCTCCAGCTGTGGCCATCTTGCTTTTTGCCCGCGGTTAGCTTTCCGCGTTTTCTTCATTGCAAGAAGAGTAACCTTCGCTTTTCGCCATGCCCTTACACCAGTCTCACTCACTCCAAACTTTCTTCCTGCTGCTCGATTACTGTTTTCGACTGCGTATTTCACAACTTGCAGCTTGAATTCTGCAGGATATGATTTTCTTTGGGCCCCCATTTGTGTTCAATCTTTCTCAGTTGTCTTTCCGGCAATCTTTACTGTAAATTAACTTTCAGTGGTACAGGAGTAGCAGATACTTGGAGTTAACATTTACGAGCGTGTGAAATGATATATTTTAATTATGGCTGTGCACAGATCGGTGGTTGACTCGAATTATGATAAGAACTGTCTATTAAAAAATGCAATCAAAATTTCCTTTGAATCCTCACCCCACAGCCCCCCAAAAATCATTGAATTAATTGATTTTGGGTCCCAGTCCGAGCTCCACTGTTCTTCGTCTCTGTTTTTGGGAAATAAATTTCCCCCAAAAATGCGACTTAGAGTCCAGTACGACTTAAGTTTTCTTCTTCAAGATGCATTTTTTCGACTGGAGCTATTTGTAGTCCCAAAAATACAGTGCTCATCATGAAGTTGACCTTGCCTTTAGAAGTGGGCATGTGTGACGGGTGCGACTGGGTGCCTTATAATTCCAAATCCTCTATTGTTTGTCAGGCTGTCTGTATGGTAATGAGAGAGAAAGAGAAAAAAAAACTGACAACTTTGCATGAGCCTTTTCACTTACAATATAGGAAACCCCCAAAAGGGTGATACAGTGAAACTCCTCTACAACGAAATCATGTTTGCGGCAAGAAATTTTTCACAACAGGGGGTTTTTCACTGTAGCAAATTTGTTCTCAGATGTAAGCACACACACACCCACACACACAAACGTATGTGTACACGCACACACAAACGTATGTGTACTCTATTTTTATTCCAAGAGTGCATAAGTATGAGCACACACTTATTTAACACTTCATATTCTCAGTGTAGAAAGAAAAAAAGGGAAAGAAATTGCGAAATTTACGATCAGCATTCACTTTCACTTACATCAATTTCTTGGATAATGTCTTTTATTTTGCTT